AGGGAAAAAAATGCAACCTGATGAAAAGAGAAGGGAGTGATTGGAATAATTTGAAATGGCCTGACGTGATCCCAGGGGAGGTTTAGGCTGGATTTTGGGAAGTGTCACAGTGGAAAGGTTGTCCAGCCATGGCAGAGCTGCTCAGGGCAGTGGTGGAGGCCCCATCCCTGGAGGGATTTAAAGCTGTGTGGATGTGGCACCTGGGGACATGGGACAGGGGTGGCCTCAGCAGCATGGGGGAAAGGTTGGGCACCATGGTCTCAGAGGGCTCCTCCATCCTGAAGGATTCCACGGTTCCAAGGACACCCTGGACATGGCCAGCACATACACACCTGTGCCTGCTGCAATCATATCCCTTCCTCTCCTTCGCTTGGCTGCCAAACATTCCCTGGTGACAGGGACCATGGGAGCAGTCCTTGCTGTGGGAGAAGCCAGCAGGATTAGATGCAATTCCCTTCAGAGAGAGCTGACAGGATCCAGCCAGTCCTGTCCCCAGCTGCTTGGGAAGCTCCCAGTCCCTTCCAGCAGCAAGAGAGGGAAATCACCTCATGCTGAGGGACAGTGACACGAGAGCTGTAGGGAGAGAGCGGCAGAGATGGGAGAGGAGCAGCACCAGAGCTTTCCAAAGGGAACACCTGGCAGATCAACCCCCAGGACTTGTGGAAAACATTTTCCAGCTGATATGTGAGTCCATCTACTCCTGTCTTCCACTCACTGACCTTTCAGCCACGGCCAGGAGCTGAGCTGGTTGGAGGTCCCCTCTGTGTCCATGGATGTGGCTTTTCCCCCGCCTGGGGTCCCCTCACGGTGCCCAATTCCAGCCCTTTGTTCCGTGTCCCTCACGGCCCTGGACTTGTCACGGTCCTTTTCCAAAGCTGCCTCCCCAGCTCTCCCCCTCGGCAGATCCCTGAGGCTGGGCCAGCCCTTTCTGAGCCCCTGCCCTGAGCTGACACCCTTTGCTTTGCACCAAACGATTGCTCCTGCTGGAATATCCCCCCGACGCTGGGTGTTTGGCTGCTGGAAGCCGGGAGGTGCCTCGGGGTTGGGTTTTTGGAAGGATGATTGGGGATTTAGCACCTACTGCAAATGCCTGGGGGCCTGCACACATCTGTACAAAAATGCTGATTTGTGCTCAGGGCTGCCTAAACACCCATCTTCTTCCTTCCTTCTCCACTATCATTCGGTTAAACTGGAACCTCTGGGAATGGAAGCCTCCCACGGAGAGCTGGAGGTTTGCAGGGGCAGCAGAGTTCATCTAATCCCACTTGACCTCTGGTTCTTCAGCTCCTCCATGTAGATCCATCAAAGGCCCAGGAGTTGGGGACCCGGAGCAGCAGGAGCTGGGGCTGGCAGGACTCTGCTGGCTGCTCCTCTGGTTCAGCCCTATCTGCAGCTGAGAGCAGGCAGGGGATGGACACGAGGCTGGCAGGCGGGTGCTGTGCCCCTGCAGGATTTAATCAGCAACTCCAGTCACCTCCTGCTCCTTGGGGTGTCCCGAGCTGCCCTCACAACCCAGAACAAACACCCAAGCTGGGAGTTACCATCCCATGGATCCCTGCCTTTGGGGGAGCCCATTTCCCACCTCTGAGAGCAAATGTACTTTTCTGTCCCTCGCTTGCAGACCCTAAATGACAAAGCTCCGTCTCTGACAAACACAAGGAGTCTGGAGCCACGTTAGCACAGGAGATGGCAAAGGAAACAGTGGGAACCAGGACACTGCACAGTCCACAGGCAGGAGCAGAAGGGGAGAGAGGCAGGGAGCAAGGGGCTCCTCCCTGAGCAGGCATTTAATGCATCCTCTGGTCATTTTTTCAAGTGATATCCATTGTGCACAAAGATAAGTTGGCCAAAAGCAAATCTCCATCACCTGGTGAGTGCCAATGTCCTCTGACCTGAGGCAGCTCTGCTGATCCCAGCTCTGCTCCTCCCCATTCCACCTGGGTTATTTCCAGCCATCCCTGAGCAAGGGTCACCTGTCCCCTTGGTAAGGACAGCCCACAGCCAGGTCCAGCAGCTCTGTGCTTGCAGAGGGATGCATCCAGCTCTGTTTCATGCCTGGATTGCCCACTCCTGTGCATCCTCCTGGAAAATGTAGCAGGCCCTGGGATTTGGGATCCCAGCCATGCCCAGCCTCGGCTTTCACCTCAGTCTCTTGGGCTTCTGTTCTCATAGCATCCCGAACTGCACCCCAGATGACATCCCAGTGCTCCTCACCCGGCTCCAGAAGGCAGCAGAGGCATTCCCACGCCTCAGCTAAAGGAAGAAAGAGAGGCAGAGCCAGAAGAAAGCGCCAGTAGGGGCAGTGCAGCAGCCAGAACCAACAGGGAGCACAGGGGGGCATGGATGAAGGCAGGGGGGATACCTCAGCTCCCGGCCCAGCAGGGCTGGATTGATGCCATGGCACAGCCATGGATACAGGTCCAGCAGCTCGGGAGGCGCCGCTCTCCGGGGGCACCTCTGGCAGAGCACGGAGCCTCCGGCACACAGAGGCAGTTTGCCTTTCCCTGAGCCCCTCATTTTCAGTAGTCCTGGTCTCAACACCCATTTTTGCTGTGCCTTCTGCATGCAGGGAGGTGGAACCTTCCCAAAGGGATGCTCTCACCAAGGTGCCCTTCTCTGCCCCCCCTCCTGGCAGAAGGAACGCCGACCCTCCAAGCAATACTGAGCAAGGCTGAGTTCATCAACTGCTTCCAGAAAACCAAACGGGCTTTGAAGCTCTTGGTGAGACATGGAGGAGTTTCCATCCCATGCAGGGACAGGGCTTTTCCCAGTGTATCCCAGCAGTGAGTGTTCAGAGGGAAATTAGAACAGAAAACACTGCCAAGGGACAAAGGCGTGGATTCCAGGTTCTTCAGAACCCAGGACCAGCACTGTTACTACACAAACTGCCTGGGGTTTCAGGGCCTGGGGGCTGCACCTCACCTGGTCCATCAGCACGTGCAGTCACAGAGGCCTGGGGAAGGCTCTGAGTCACCTGAGCTGAGGCTCCAGCTCGGCTGAGTGGATGAACATAATCAGAGTGACATGGTTAAACACTGTTCACTGTTAGCCAGAATCCAGAGCCTTGGCCAATTCCCACCCTGGCTGAGGGCCCAGGGGCCTGAGCTAAAGCCCACAAGGGAAAGGGCCAGAGTGTGGTGCAGTCTGGGCAACATAACCCAGCTCCCAAAATAATGTACCAAGCCTCTGTGACATCTCTGGGGTACCAGAGCCCTCTGAGGGACACAAATCAAATCAACAACTGCCCCAGTGTGTAACTCTCATGGTTCAAACTCTATACAAGTCAAGACATTTTGATTTTTCCCTTCCCTTTCTATTATTGTGAAAGCATGCAAAGGAAAAAAAGCCCAGTTTTCAAGTGAGCCAGCCTTTCTAAAGAACTGGATAGGTGAAGTCACACTAGTTATACTATATCAATTTAATGCAAAATTAAAGCTTTCTGTGGGTCTTTTATAAACCAGTATCAATCCTGCTGCAGTGTTGATTCCTCTGTTAGTTTAAATAGGCAAAAAAACCCTATCCCCCACAGGTATGCAGGTATGCAGGTTCTCAATGCAACACAACAGAACTGTCTCCTCTGTCCCACCAAACCCAGCCACATACACAGAACACAGTGACAGCAGCTCTTTAAAATCAATTCTATCTCAATGAACTGTTTCAGGACTGAAATGTCACCCTCCTCCAAACCCAGCTACGTTTGTGACTCAGCAAAAATGGTAGAAACATAGTTCTCTGTGTTTGTTTTTATTTCAGTTCCCCTTTCAGACTCCCTGCTTCTGCCATGGAATGCTTCAAACACTCGTGGCACTGATGCCTCAGCCTCTTTAGGCTCTTTTTTAATGGTTGTTTTAGTAACAGCTCTCAGCTCTCACTTCTTCCCCCATCTTACAACTTGAATAGTAAATAGTGAAAGATTAATGTGTTTTCAATATTATTTTTATTCTGTTAAATGACTGAATTTATATGAAAATTAGAGGGAGATGAATTTTGTACTGACAAGACTATTCAGACAGCTATAACCAAAGTGAGTTTACCAGTTTAAATATGGATCAGGTCATCCTTCACTGGTTAAAGCAAGTAATTATAAATGTATAACCCAAAAGCCTTAGTCCAGTAAAAGCTGAGGGAAATAGAATAAATCAAGCCCATAAATACCATCAGCTGCTAAGCTACTGAAAAAAAATTCCAAGTGACATAATCTTGCATCCTCCAGATTTGCTCTCTGCTGTGAATGGTCAGGGGCTGCCTCTGTTGCTACGGAAAGGTCCCACCTACATCAGGCCTGTTTTTTGTTGCCATTGCTCAATTTTTCCCAAGTGTTCTTGAACACCTGCCCCTAACTTTTGCCACACCTCGCCCTGACACAGCCACTCAGTGAGAAAAGCTTTAAAGTTGGCTCCAGCCCTGCCTTTTGTTCACAGCTCCAAGGCCCTGTGGAGCCTGGCACCAATTAGGGAGCAGATAATTAATAAGTCTCTCTCAGAGCCCATTTCTGGCACTGGGAAGGGATTTTCCTCTTAACTGAAACCAGCTCACTCCTTCAAGTCAGTCATTTTAAGGCCTGGTATTGTCCTTCACACTCACTGCAACTCTTCTGACCAGCACCAGCACATTTCCATTATTACAGACTCACCCTCCTATGACAGAAAAAAAAATCTGCCACACTGCAAACAAAGGCTCTGAGTCAAATCCACCGGGACCTCCCCAGAGCTCTGGCTGATAAAGCTCTCAGCAGCTCCAGCCAAGACTTAATGTCTGGCGAACAAAATGTTCTGGAAAAACGTTGTACCTTCTATAAACACTTTCTTCTGGCAGATCCGTCCTGTTGTTTTAAAACCTGGAGAGGCTGACTCAGCCTGGCTTCTGCAGGAGCTAAGGGAACACGATGGGTCCAGGGGAAGGTGGAGGGAATGGAGTGTGGGGAGGAGAGAGAGAGAGGGGCAGAGTGAGCCCCGCACGGCCCCCGGTGCTGCACGGAGCCGCTGCTCCTGCCCAGCTGCTCACACAAAGTTTATGTACACACTGCCCACATCCTTCAGCCTGTTTTTGGTGCCCAGGCAATTTTCCAGCATGTCTTTTGTGGGCAGGGAACTGTCAGTGCTGGTGACAAATTGCCGCAGCGCATTCCTGCCCGACAGGCGGCATTTTTGCTCCTCCTTGGCAACGCTGTCCAGCAGGACTCCTCGGATGTCCTTGGGCTTCCCTGGCACGCCGAACACCACGAACAAGCCCAGGCAGTCCCGTCCCACCAGGCGGCAGAACTGGGCCAGCTTCTCAAACCTGCTCATGTTCTGGAAGCACTCGTCGGCCAGCGCGGCCTCCCGGCAGCAATCCTCGGCAGCGCCCTCGCCGTGGAAGAGCTCGGCCGGCTGCAGAGCCTGCACGGCGATCTGCAGCTTGATCTGCTTGTCAGACCCACACAGAGTCCAGATCCAGTCCACTCCGAACAGGGAAGATTGCTGCTTGGTCATTTTGCTGGTCATGATCCGCTCCTCCATGCCCTTTCCCACGCAGAAACCGATGAAGTTGACCAGGAAGATCTCGCTCAGCGTGTTCGTGGCTGGCTGGAATTTGCTTTGAGGATCCACAAAACCCAGGTAGTCCTTCAGCCTTTGAGATGCATGGAGCACACCCTGGCTGAAGACTTCACACATGACCAGCGTTTCAGCCTTGTTCTCATGGTTGTCCTCCTGGGAGACCTTCTGGCCCATTTTCTCTGCTGGAGGAGGTTGTTTCCACATGCAGACTGCCTCAGGGACAAACCTTTATTTTCCAGCAAAGGCTGTGCAGGTGCTGGGCTCAGCCAGACCTATTCAGCTGCACATGGACACCTGCAGCCTTCCCGGTGAAGGTGATGGCAGAACTGAGCTCTGCGTGCCTGCAGGGCAGCTGGGCTTTCTCCTGGGTGTGTTTCTCCGCAGCTGACTGAGCAGGGACCAGCCCAGCAGGCCCTGTAGCTTTCACACTTACTGAATTCATCTGTGCTTGTTTTCCTTATTGTTAATTCCGGCACCATTTCTTTGGCTGATGTTATCTCATTCCAGTCTGATCTTATCTCCTTTCTAGGACTATTGAACAGAAACCATTTTTTTGGTACAGGGTGTTGCCTGGAGATGAAACCACCTTTTTCTTTTAATCTCCCAGAGAAGGGAGATTAACACTTGGGACCAGAGAGAGGGACAGTGCACCCTGGGAAGGCTTCCTCTGGAGAGCACACACTGAGCAATGATCATGTCACTTCTCACCACACCAAACAACCCAAGATGGTTAAAATCTGTATCCCAGAAATAACTAAAAAGTCTTGATACAGTTGATTTTTTAGCTGTTAGTTGAGCCCTGCTGCAGGCACTACTGACAAATTAATGAATGAGTCAACAAAAAATGTGTGATTTTGCCCCTTTTCCCTTCTTTGTTTTCTGAACAGAACAGAACAAGCTTCCATAGAAAATTAAAAGGAAAAAAAAAGAGGACGTGAAAAAGGGAACCAGCTTCCAGAAACACTTGGCATTTTCCACAGACTTTATTGGATTTCACATGGCAATACACAGCAGTTACGTTGCCCTCTCCAAAGAGGCACCAATTAAACACTCTGACAGGATGGACAGTGTGCACACACGCACCTAAAACCTCCTGACTCCATCGCCTCTCTCGTGCCCCTGCCCTGTAAGAGAAACAGGGCTCAGATGGCAGCTCGAGGGGATGGCCTGGCTGCCAGGAAAGGGCTGTTTGGAGCAGAATGCTGCTCACACTGCACTTCAGTAAACCATCACTGCCCTCACTGATAACACTCCAGAGACACTGGAGAGTGTTTGTGGGTATTTCAGCACACAGTATTGTGTCACTAGCTCCCTTTTCCCCCTCCCCTTTTCCCCCCAGTTCTGTCCAGTGGCCAGTGACTAGTGAGAGCCATCCAGAGGAACACTTTTGTTTGGAAGCCTGCACCACATTTCCCAATGCTTCCACAGGGTTTTATGTTCAACTTCCATGTAAATAACAACAATATTGCAGAGTATTCACAGAAAGGGAAGCCTGAATCCACATCCCAAGCATCTGCACCCTAAACCTGCCCACGTTAAATTTTGCATCTTGGTACATCAATAATCACCTACACTGCACATCCTTCAAAGGTCCTGGTTACCAGCTCACATAATTCTAATGCTGGAATATGCTTCTGATCTGAGGGGAGCTCCCTGAAAAACCTGGGAAGAACCTTTCTTCCTTTCCTAGCTTTTTTAACAGTGTTTCAGAAACACCCCCAAAGTCAGCACAAACCCCAAATCCCCTGCACAACACCAGGAATGATCTCACTTCCAGCAAGGAGAGCGACAAAACGAGTGACAAACGCTTGGCAAAGCAACACCACCACAAGGAACAATTCCAGCTGGACTTTTGTTTGCCTTTTACAGAGCAAAGCAGCTTCATGCCATTGTGCTAAAATACATGCAACGTTCAACACCATACAAATGACCACTGGAATAAAAAGTTACTTTTATTTGTTTGTTTGCTTGCTTTTGGCTAGGACACCTCACAAAACTGGAAGTCTGACACAAGATTCCCACTGGCTAGTCAGGAATTTTAAAACCTGATGATCCTCAAGAGCAGAGGAGCTGCTTTAAGAAGGTAAAATGATGAGCAACACATTTGATATCTGAATTTTGGAGGAAAAGTCCCACCTTAGGCTTAATAATGTGAAATAATATATTTCCTATACATTTCTCTATATAACTTTATTTTTTTAGCAACTACACCATCTTCATGTTAGTTACAGCACAGAAACATCCCTTCCATATGCAGGGAGTACTCTCAACTTTAAAGAAATTTTTTCAGTCATGGAAGTGTTAATAACCTTGTTGAATGCACTAACTACTGCTGCTGGGGACGATAAAGAAGACATTTTAAAATGTGCAGTTTCTGGATGAGTCACTGCTAGAAGAAACATGCTTTAGAAATAGTTTCATCTCAAATGGAAGATCATTAAACTGTGCACTCAGTAAAAAGCAACGAAAGCAAACAGTTCCAAAGGTCAGCCTGCCTTTCCCAGTAACCAGCTGGTCTGCAAACTGGCATAATTTTTTTACAACCTTCTCCCCTTCCCTCACACACCTTCAACTTTCCATCACTCTATCTCACAAAATTTAAATTTTTGCTTTTATATGTACTTCATATACTTATTTTTTCTTCTTTTTCTTTTTTTTTTATAAAACAGTATAAAAATAGGAGCAACAGTCAAGAGCTACTGGGGAGCTTACACAGGGCACAGATGACTAAAATCCTACATTGGATCGGGCTGAACTGGTGTTTGTGCCAAAGAAAAGCACTTAGGGAAGAGCAGTAACTTCTATTTTTCAGCTGGGAGCTCAGAGAGAGCTGATGCACGCTATCTACAGACGCAACACTTTCACCAAACACCTTCTGTTCTTTTCAAACAGCAGAGAGCATTATCTGAGGCCAGGAATAAGCAAAAGGAGCACTAGCATACCACATCAATTTCAACGCAACACTCTGAAACATATCACCAGTTTGTACATTAAATAGAGTTAAAACCATTACCATTCACCAGTGTCTGGGTGGTTTTTATGGCAACTTAAGTAGGCACCTTGTTTTTTCTCCTTTTCTATTTAAAATTCTCCACCCCTCAGTGTCACTTCTAACAAACAGAAGCAAGAGCAATGTAAAGTACATGATCTGTCATGTGGAACAGGGATGTCCTTGCACGCAGGAGAACGAGCCTTTGTCAGTGCCTGGTGGTGACTGTCACACGTTGGAGTCCTCATCTGTTATACTGGTGCTAGGAGAGCGAGTGGCAAAGTCTTTGAACATTTCATCTTCCTTCAGCATGTGCTGCAAAGGAAAGGAGAGAAGAGTCAAGGTTTCTCACAACTGAAGTCAGTCACCTGTCCTGTGCTGGGCAGCAAACACTGCCCGCCAGCCACTGCTTTGTTCTGCTGAGGGAGGTTTGCAGCCACCCTGCCCCAAAACCAGCTCACTGCTGTCTGCTGGCCCCAGTGCCTCAGGGCTTCCACCCAGAAAATGCAGCCTGACTCCCAGCTGGAGACCCACCGACCATGGGCAATGGGGGCTGTGTCCCCTGCCCTCCCTGGTGTGTGGGGAGCCAGCACAGGCCACCAAAGCTCCCCACCAGGATGGGTGGGTACCTTCCTGAACCACTTGGGTTTTTGTGCCCTCTGTCCCTGCAGGAGACCCAAAGGACCTCACTGACACTGTTTAACATGAGTGACTGCCAAGGGCCTCACACCCATCCCACAGAAACAGAGACCTTACTGCACAGACCCCGTTCACAGACTCACTGTCAGGTTGTTGATGCCTTCAGAAAATGCTCCTATTTGCCTCACCGTCCCTTCTGAATCTTCCATCTATAAAAACCAGAATGAATCATGAATTAATAACAACTTATTTGTATCATAGAGTGGAATCACAGAATGCATTGGATTGGAAGAGACCTTAAAAATCATCTCAGTCCAATCCCCTGCCATGGGCAGGGACAGCTTCCACTATCCCAGGTTGCTCCAAGCTCTGTCCAACTTGTCCTTGGGCACTGCCAGGGATGCAGGGGCAGCCACAGCTTCTCTGGACAACCTGTGCCAGGGCCTCAGCACCCTCACAGGGAAGAACATATTTCTAAACCTCCTGAGATCTAAACCCACTCTTTGTCAGTGTGAAGCCATTCCCCCTTGTCCTGCTAGGACAGAGTGACATTGAAGTGCAGCACACAATTTACTGACTACACCTGAGATGTTCAGACCAAGGGGGAAGCATGGCCTGCCAGGAGAAGAGAGTTACTCCAGAGCAGGCCCTAAAGGTGCTGCATTCACAGCTTCAGCCTCCTTGGGAGCAGAGCCTTTTGTCACTAATGCTGTGACAGTAAGAACTCAGGGCCTTCATGGGCCAAAGCAAAAGGAAGACTTTCCTGGGAAATGGAAGGTTTTCCCACCAAACCTGACAGCTCAAAGACTCAGAATTGTTAGAACTGGCTTACCTGCTCCAGCCTGTCCAAATCATCATCATCATATACTCGCATATCCAGGCCAGGCTTAAAGCCCTTCTTCGATGCGCTCCCAGATGCCCTCCCCAGCTCCATAGGACACACATACTCTTCCACATCATCCTGCTTCTTCTTCCTCAGGTTCCCAAAATTGCTGAAGGTAAGTTTCTTTGGCTTAAAAGCGAAGAGAAATTTGTCTAGGAGTTAGAGAATCAGCAAAGAACAGGCCTACTCGTGCCCTCTTGTGCTTCCATGACAAAGGTCAAAACCCCAGTGCTCTCCTACACAGATCTTCTGAATTTCATGACAGTGGCAACTGAAAGGACAATGTGTCCTCTCATTCTACCACTGTTAAGACACTACCATTTAACAGATCCCAAATGAGGTGAAAATTCCACATTAAACCATGAGTCTGTTAACAGTAAGGGACAGTCTCCCTCCCAAACATCTCCCAGTACAGACAGAAGGACAACACGAGTGCTACCTCTTGTCTCTGCATGTCAGAGAGGCTGAGGAGTGGCCTGTTCATGGTAGACACAAGTGTCAGCCCCAGATCTGCCAGGTCCTGCTCTCATGCTTCTTTCCTTAGAAACCAACCCCTTTTCTCAGACCTTACTGATGCTGCACCCTCCCAGCATGGATAAAACCAGAGATCCAAAAGCTTCCCTGGAACCTCCCACCCCTCCCAGAACAAGTGGCCTACCTTGACTTTGGCAGTTGCTGTCAGAAGGACGTAGTCTGGGGACTCCATGGCCTCACGCTTCTGCTGCTGGGCCTCCTGCCCCACCAGGAGGTTGAAATGAGTGGCCAAGTGCCGCCTCAGCAGCGTCTTGTTGGGGGGGATGTTCAGCAGCTGGGCCATGGTTTCTAC